GGTGGTATTGCATAACAAAGTTAGTGAAACACTGCAGTGCCACTCAATAATGATAGTAATGGCACTACAACCACCACCACCACCACTATTACCAGCATTGCCATTGCCATCACCATTACCATCANGCAGACTTCTACCTACAAAAATGAAAGAAAAAGTATCCACTGCTCAAGAGGGAAAAGAAGAAGAAGAAGAAGTGTGTGGCACAAGTGTGTCCAATGGCTATTCTTTTTCTTCTTTTTCAGTTTGGGTACCCCACACACTCAGACACTCAGTCAGCACTAAGTCAGTCAGAGACAGGCGTGTGTGTGTGTGTCAGTATGAATGAGTACACTGGTGGTGGCAGAGGTGGTATTGCATAACAAAGTTAGTGAAACACTGCAGTGCCACTCAATAATGATAGTAATGGCACTACAACCACCACCACCACCACTATTACCAGCATTGCCATTGCCATCACCATTACCATCATCATCGTCAGCAGCAGCAACAGCCAGGCGATAATAAATTAGCAAAGAAAAAGACGCGTGCTGGGGAGCAGGCACAGAGGCTCAGGGAAGAGTAAGCAAAAAGTAAGCATGTTGCCGGCAAAGGAATTGCTGCGACGACCTGGGATGCAGCAGCAGCAGCAGCATTAGCAATGGAAACTACCGCAGCAGCAGAACCTGAAGGATCAGGAATAGCAGGCAAGGGGGAAGGGAAAGAAGAAGAAAAGCAATTGATTATGCTAATCGATTGAGCAACCTAAAAATATACCGAGTCACTGTCGCATCTGTGGAAAGAGCATCGGCAGCAGAAGCAGCAGCACTAAGCTCTGCAATGGATGTGCAACAGAATGTGCAACAGCAGTTCGGGCATACCAGACACTGCAAGGGAGGGAAGAGGAGAGAGGGACTCCTCAAACACTGCAAACACCGACACACTAAAATCTGCAACACTAAACGGTTAGAATCCGTTGTTGTTCGGAGCGAGCCCGGCGCGCTTGTTGCCGGGTGGTGGCGGTGGCAGTGTGTGTCTCTGTGATTGCAGCGGTTGATGTTGCAGCAGCAGCAGCAGCAGTTTGTCGCTGGAATGCAAACTATTTTCAGTCGGTCAGAGGAGATAGAGAGAGAGAGAGAGAGAGTAAGGCAAATAGAACAGAAACTGAAGCAGAAATTGAGCTGAAGAGTGCAGAGCTGTAAATCATACTTTGGGCTGCTGCTGCAGTTGCAGATTAATCTCAGCGCAGACGACGGCGAGACGCTGTGCGCCAGTGCTTTTAGTGAGGAGAAAGTGCAGCGGCAGCAGCCCCGATATAATGTGGCCCTTAGAGATAGGGAGCAGCAGTAGAGAAAGGTCAAAGTTATTGACCAGTGGTCAGGGAGAAAGAGAAGGGAAAAGAATTTAGTGCGACAAGTGCGCTGGGGAAAGAGGGAAAAAAGATAGAGCAAACCTGTTGGTCGAAAAAAAGGCATGGAAATTACTGGATTGAATATCCAATCAGCTTATCCAGTAAGATGTGTTCAACAGATTAAGAGGGGCAATAAATCGATAATCCGCAAAGATAAGCAGAAGCGGAAGCGGCAGCAGCAGCCATCAATCGGCTAAAACTGACAAATCAGACAGACACACACACACAGAAGCTCGTGTCTGGGTATTTATTTTTTATCATTGTAAGAAANGAGAGATAAGCAGAAGCAGAAGCGGCAGCAGCAGCCATCAATCGGCTAAAGCTGACAAATCAGACAGACACACACACACACAGAAGCTCGTGTCTGGGTATTTATTTTTTATCATTGTAAGAAAGGGGCAGGAAATGGGAAAAGGTAGAAAAAGATAGTAAAAGATGATGTTTGGCAAAAGAAAATCAGTTAACCAAATCAGTTGTAAGGGTGCTGCTGCGTTTTAGCGGTACAGCTCATCTGCCTGCCTACTACTGCTGCTGCTTGTACTCCAACTTCAGCGCATTGATAATGAAGCTGTAGATGTCGGCAACCTCTTCAATCTAGGAGGGGGGGGGCGGCAGTAAAGGGAAAAGAGGAAAGGATAAGGAAAGAAAGATGGAAAAACAAACAAAAGTCAAAGGTGTAAGTAAGCTGTCAGATAATCAATAAAAAGAGGGAAAAAGAATAAAAACAAATCGTTCTACTTACAATCTTCTCCGTAGGCTTGCCAAAGCCGTGACCAGACTTTGTATCGATGCGGGCAAGCAGCGGCGTCCTGGCGCCCACCTTCTCCCCTAGCTTGTGCTGCAGCTCGGCAATCAGCTTGAAGGAGTGCAAGGGGACGACGCGGTCGTCGTGATCAGCTAATCAGAGGGGGAAAAAGATGAAAAAATTAGCACCAANAGGGAAAAAGAATAAAAACAAATCGTTCTACTTACAATCTTCTCCGTAGGCTTGCCAAAGCCGTGACCAGACTTTGTATCGATGCGGGCAAGCAGCGGCGTCCTGGCGCCCACCTTCTCCCCTAGCTTGTGCTGCAGCTCGGCAATCAGCTTGAAGGAGTGCAAGGGGACGACGCGGTCGTCGTGATCAGCTAATCAGAGGGGGAAAAAGATGAAAAAATTAGCACCAAAACCAAAGGAAATTCCCCCCCCCCAAAACCTCTTCTTACCCGTCAGAAGAAGGGTGGCCGGAAAGCGGTCCACATCGCCGGGGACATTGTGCAGCGGCGAGAGGCGAATCAGATTGCGAAAGTCCGCCTCCTTCTCCGGGTTGCCGTACTCGGACATCCAGGCGTGGCCAATGGTGAACTTGTGAAAGCGCAGTAGGTCCATCACACTAAATAACAAAAGTAAGTAAATGTCATTTGATTAGCCCAAATAAATCAAATCAAATAAAAGAGAGAGGGAAAACGGGCGGAAATGTCCATCCAACTGCAAATCAAACCAAGTCAGCATCATCATCATCATCATCACTTACCCAACGTGGGCAATGCCGGCGGCAAAGAGCTCCGGTCGTTGATTGCTGACGGCGCCAATCAGGAGGCCGCCGTTGGAGCCGCCCTCGATCCACAGTCTGGAAAGGAAACAAAAGTTGAAGGTTAGGGCAAAATCCCCCAAAAGCACTCCATCACTGACTTCTCTGATCTGGTGTAGCGCTCCTTGGTGAGGTACTCCGCGGCGGCAATGAAATCATCAAAGCAGGTCTGCTTCTTCTCCAACTTGGCGGCATTGTGCCACTTTTCGCCGTACTCGCCGCCGCCCCGAATATTGGCCAGCGCAAAGAGGCCGCCCAGATTTTCCATTAGAATAATGTTCTGCAGACTAAAGGACGGCTTGATGCTGACGTTGAAACCGCCGTAGGCGTAGAGGCGACAGGGCGCCTGGCCGTCCTTGGTAAAGTCCTAAAAAATAAGAAAAACAGGTTAAACCTTTAAAAATATTAACCAAAAGATTCCCCTTACCTTCTTGTGCACCAGAAACATGGGCACCTTCGTGCCATCCTTGCTCTCGTAGAAGACCTGCTCAGTGACAAACTTAGTGTGGTCAAAGTTGGCGGGCTTTGCCTCGCGAAAAACCGTCGGCTCCTTGGCCCCCGTCACGCCCTCGCCCTCCAGCACCAGGTGGTAGACAATGCCCGGAATGAGAAAGGAGGTAAAGGAGTAGAAGAGCTCCTTCTGCTCGCGCTTCGCCGCCAGGCCGGTGACGTTGCCCAGCGGCAGGGGCAGCTCCCGCAGGAGCGACCCGTCCGCGAGGCGGTGCAGCTGGACGCGCGAGGTGACGTCGCGAATGTAGCTGGCGACGATCAGGTCGCCGGCGGCGGCCACCGCCCCCTCGAGCACGTCCTTCGGGTGCTCCGGCACCAGGTCGGTCCAGGAGGCGGGCAGGCGGGCGGCGGCCACGTCGGAGAGGTCCACCACGCAGAGGCGGAAGTTGCTGGCGTGGAGGTTGGTGCGAAAGACCGTCCGCGGGCCGTCATTGGCGACGTAGTAGTAGTCGGCGTTGAAGACGTCCACCACCGTCTCCAGAGCGAGCGGCCCGGTGATGACCGGCGCCAGTGGATCAGCAAAGCGGTGGTAGTGCCAGAGGTTGTACTCGCAGCTATGATTGGTCCACACGTGCAGGTAGTGGCCGCAGTCGCTGATGGAGGCGTTGAAGCGGTAGTTGGGCTCGTCGGGCCGCTCGTAGACGAGCACGTCCTCCGTCTGGGGCGTGCCGATGCGGTGGTAGTAGAGCTTCTGGTAGGTGCACTCGGTGGTCTCGGTGCCGTCCCCCTCGATGCCCGGAAAGGCGGAGTAGAAGAAGCCGCGGTTGTCGTGCGTCCAGGTGATGTTGCTGAACTTGAGGCGAGTGAGCACCTCGGGCAGGTCGTTGCCGGTGTCGACGTTCTTGATGCGCAGGCTGTTCCAGTCGGAGCCGGAGGTGTTCAGGCCGTAGGCGAACCACTTTCCTG